GGGGGGGGGGGGGGGGGGGGACTGCCTACTGGGCCCTTACAGAAGTAGGAAGTCTGGACCAAAGCAGATGGAGGAGGTGAGGGCAAAGACCTCGAACTCTCCCTCCTTGTTGAGCCTCAGTTTCCAGATGTGTAAAACAGGGATAACCATAGCACTTACCTCCCAGGGTCATCGTGCCATTCAAATAAGGTGATGTCAGTAAAATACTCAGCAAATCGAAAAGTGCCCCAGCACTGTGAGGCAGCAGACCAGAGGGATTTATCCCTCCAGATACAGCTTGGAGCCTGCAGCACCTCCATTAAAATGGCAAAGCTCCTGGAGGGCAGGGGATGTCGGGCTTTGGGCTTTGCTATGCCTAGTTCTGGGCACAGAGCTTCAAACATTTTGGAGGGGCAAGCCTGTAATTTCATTGGTATAAAAACACCTATCGATGAATCAGCAAGCATTTATTAAGTGATTACTCTGGGCCAGGCCCTGTGATAAGCTGAGGATGTGAAGAAAGACTCCAGACAGTCCCCATTTTCCAGAAGTGTACATTTGAACGGGGCAGATGAAATGCACATACCAGGGTGCCTAGGGGGTGGGTGGCAGGTGATCTCTGAGGGGAAGGCCTGAGCAGCAGAAGGCTTCACTTGAACCCAGTTTGGAGAAAGTCAGAGATTCCAAGATAGGAGACGGAGCATGGTGTGTGAGACGCAGCAAGAAAGCCAGTTTGGCAGCAGTGAAGCGGGGGAAGATAGGCACCTGCTCAGCCACTGCTAGTGTTAGGGGGCTGCTGGGGGCACTGAAAGGCTGGGACTTGCCCTCAGGTGACACATCTAGTCTTGAACCCTGGCCTTGACACTTCTCCCCTCCCCCACCCACTCCCCTATGCTGGTAGGTACTCGTTGGCTATACCACCCACAAAGCTTAGCTCTCTATCAGGAATAGCAAGCAGAAGGTGATAAAGACAAGTTTCCTCTTCCAGCTGTCAGAACCCTAACCCTAACCTCTCTCCTTTCTAATGGCAGCAATCAGAGGCTAAGCTTTTCCCAAAGTACCTCATTGCACCCACATGGGGCCTGACAAGTTTCTGTTCATTTTCTCTTGGATTGGGTGTTTTTCTATGTAATGCCTGTGTGTAACAAGGTAGAGCACACCCCCACATTGAACACACTGTCCCCACCTCCAACTCCACCTCCATTGCTTATCCCCTAGATTCCATTACACTCTCCTCCTCAGAGGTGGTCCTTTTGATCATCCCCGAGCCTTCATTTTCTAGTTCTCCTTATCCATTGGTTCCTTCCCTATGAAATATGCCTAGATGGTCCCCATTCTTAAAAACAAACAAACAAAAAAATCCCTCAAACCCTTCACTTAATAACAATAGGATTGTAAAGGCAAACCACCAAGAATGACTTCAGAACCCTGGTCAGTGCAATGACCAAACCACATAATTCCACAGGACAGGTGATAAAGCATCGTACCCAGCTGCTGACACACAGGTGATATGGACTTACACGACAGGATGAGACAGAGATCTTTTTGGACATAGCCAACATAGGAATTTGTTTTGTTTGACTATGCATATTTATCACAAGGGTTTTATTTTTCCTTTTTCACTAGGGAAGGGGAAAGAGGGAGGGAGAGGTAGGGTTTTGTTCATTGAAAAAAAATATTATTAAAAAAATAACCCTTTACTTAATCTTACCATCCCCTCAAGCTATCATCCTATCTCTTTCACAGCGGACTCCTAAAAAAGCTGTCCATGCTCAGCCCCCTAGCTGTTCTCCATGCCTTGCATGCCTTTCTCCTCTCCACTTGACTTCCTTCAGGTCTCAAAGTCCCACTTTCTGCCTGAAGCCTTTCCCAATCCTCTTTAATCTCCAAGCATTCCCTTTCAGACCCCCTTCCCATCCCC